TTCAGGTCTGGCGAGAAAATGTTCAATGTCAAGATAGTTTCATCACAGGAGCCATTTTACTGATTATTGAGAGACAGATGGCAGAATTTTATATTCTCTTTTTAAAAAAGTTATTTTACTGAAAATAAAGCTCATAGATAATATTTGATAATATAATTTCATCAAAATATCTTCAATAAATTCTATTCAATTGTCAGTCAAAGAAGATCCATAAAGATGTTAAGACAACAATCTATTTTATTTTACACTGGCTTTGTTAAAATGTTACATGCTAAGGGCTCTGTTCCTTTAAGATAACGGGAGATTAAATATTAATGTTTCTGTGCGGGAAAAACTGTTCAGTAGGAACATTTAAGTATCATTCATTGAAAGTGACATAAATAAATAAAAAATATCATTTTCCATTGAATTATTTTAAAAAAAGGGGAAACTGCATATATTGCAGTTATATGCAAACATTCCATATAAAACCAGTTGATTAAAAAAATAAAAATAAGTCTCTCCTGCACCTGTCTTCTCATTACTGTCATTGGATGCATCATTTTGTGAACAGTCAGCTTCTTTAGCATAGACCTTTTAAACTAATCTGACTCTGAACTTATTAGTTTACTCTGGCATTTACAAAAACAGCCTGTTTATCCATTAAGTTGCCTGAGACATAATTGATGGTACTATGACTGAAACATTGTAAATACTGCAGTATAATCATGCCATGAGTGTACTTATTTTACGTGATTTGACCTTGTCATCATTTATCATGGTTTTACCATGCACATGTCCATTTATACATCATGATCTAGAAAATACAAACACACACACATGCTGTTGCTAACCAGTAGAGATCTGCAGTGGATTCTCTGCTGCTAAATCCTGCCTCTCGGCTGCATGAGGTTCACAATGCAGCAAGGTGACTCAATGTTATTGTCTTCTCCTCAGAGAGCCTCTTCCCGCTGAATCACAGCTTAGTAGAGGTGCCAAGCAAGAAAATGAAATAAAGATTTCTTTATTCTGACTTTGTAATGTTCTTCAGCTTGCCTGGTTCCTAATCTATCTATTACGAGCCCCTCATCGAAAATCATTACCATATTTTCTGTTATACCTATGTTTAAAGTGTCCCTTAATGTGAACAGTGTAAAAAAAATATACTCTGCAAATGAGAGTATTAGAGTGCTAATAAATTACCCAGGTGCAATATTTTAAAAAGCAGTCTCTTTTTTGGTCTGCAGCACATTTAATCAACATATAGCTGCTGATGAAAAAGAAGAAGTGCTGATCAGCTCCATCCACTATAGAGCTTTCTCTCATTTTCAATTTGGTTATGATCTTAAGACATTGATTAATTACCTCCCAGCCCACCATACGATTACACTGACATCTACAGGGCAGGGATGTTATTTTTAGTCAGAAGCTCACTCATCCAGAGAAAAGCTAGATTTATTGTCTTGCTGTACCTGCCAAGGCTCATAAATAGTACTTTTGATTTCCTTTCTTAGCAATCATAATTTTAGCAGAGAGACAATGTTTATAAAACTAAGTGCCAGGTTTTTTCTGAGCTGTTTCAGACATCTGTTGCCAGATGCTTTAAGGAAAAGAAGGGACTACATTTTTAATATGATATAAAAAGAATTTAACATGAAATTACTTGGTTGTAGTCAGGGTATATTAATTAACTATTTGGAGAGAGTGATAGAAAGCAAAACCCATTTTTGTTTCAAATGATAATTAAAAAATTATCCAATTTTTTTAGATAGCTATCCTATTGTTTAGTATAGTTTAAAGCACAAAAATTATATACTGACAAGTTAGAAACAGCTACGCCCTCTCCTGGAGATATAATATAAATAAAAGTCAAAGCCTTGACTGCATGCTAGAAAAAAAATCCTTTATATCCTAAATGTATCCTATATGTTTCTTGGTTTTATGTAAATGTAGAACCGGTTCTTAGAGACTTTCAAAGATATCTAATTTTGATTTTTGCAGGTTGATGATAAGTAAACTGTGAGAATTCAGCTGTAAGCAGAGTTACAAGGTTTCATGTCATGTTTCCCAGTGAGTCCGCTGAGGAGGACTACAGTAAGAGGTAGAGTTGAACCCATTAATCACAGAGTGCTGCTTCTAAAGCTGAGTAAAACCTTGGACCGCAATGCAGTTTTTGGGTTTCTGCACACACAAGTTATTTTTTTCAAAGAACAAAACAAGTAGTGTTTTTTTGTTTGTGTATTTTTCTTTTTTTTTTAATAGAAATTTAAAAAATTTGGTGTAAGCTCCTACGTAAGCTGTTTACGAAAAAAATAAAATATTTAGATGCATTATATTAAAGACTTATGATGCTTATGGTAATCTTTATTATAGCTATTTAAGTAAAACTATTTATTTATTTTAAAAAAGTATTCACTTAGGCAATGGTGGACTTCAACCTATAAATACATCCCTGAGACTGCTCTTAGACTCAGAAAAACTTTACCAGCAGGATTTAACATTATTCAAATAGCTGTGGGTATTCATATCTCTACCTACTTCTCTTTTTAATGTCACAAGCATTTTGTTTGTTGCTATGTCTTTATAATATTTGGTTAAACAAATTAATTGGCTAAATCTATTCATCATATTTTTAGAAGGTATTACAGTAAACATTTACTCTGTATACTCTATAAGTATTGCCCTACACAGATTCATAACAATCATGTAAGTTCTTATAACAAAATGTTTATAAATATGCAAAATATACACATTTATTGTCTGTAAATGAAAACAATATTTTTTTATATTCAAATTTAACATTTTGAAGCTTTCAGTGTTTTTTTTTTCTTGCTTGGGGTATTTATCCTTTTCCACAACCCAATTAAGTATGATGTAAGAAAATTTCAGTTTTAATTCAGTTTATTTATGTAGTGCCAATTCACAACACTTGACATATTAAGGCACTTTATTTAATAAGATTATACAGTCAGATTAGTTATGTTTTCTATCTTAGGAAAACAGCTGATTTCATGGAGTATTTGGAGAATATTCTCTCCCTGGATGAGCATGTGGCAACAGCTTGCATTGTGTCGTAGGCCTAATCCCAAACTGGCCTCTAAACACTACCCCAATCCTTTGTGTGCACATTCCTGCGGAGGGTCCGCCATATTAAGGACTGTCCCAAATCACATAGTTGGTAGGGCAAGTAGGCCAATCAGCCCTTAATTAGTGAGTCTGCGTCAGTGCAGACTTGATGGAATTTGGCAGCGGGTGTAATGGCAGCCTAATAGCAGAGGACACACTTGCATTCAAATATAAGTTCCGCTGATTTTCTGCATCTTCTTCTGAGCCACGTTTCCTCCCAAAGGGATGGGAGAGAGTACCTACAGCTAGTCACAGTAAAAGCTGAGGCTATAGCTCTGTCTAGGAGAGAAACAAGACAAAGCACTGAAAAACAAGCCCAACACGTCATCTATTATCTGAGGTGTTGATGGTGGCAACACAACTGATATTTCTCCCAGGACGTTGTAATGGCCAAAATGAACCATAATGATGGGAAAGACTGAAAAAAAGAATGCAACCTCTTTTGGCATTTACTTAATCATATTTAGTTACTTTAACACAATTGTTTTCTGTCCTACCCTGCTATCATGAAACAATCGTGTTAAAGTAACTAAATTAAGTAAATGCCAAAAACGGATGCATTATTTTTTTTTAGTAGACTGCAAATTTGTAGAATGGAATGAAGCATAATGAGGAAAACTGTTCCCTATGCCCACCATCTGTCTAAACCTATAGCAGCATAAATATAGAGTTAACTCAGGATAACCTGAGTCACTCAAATGTGAGAAGGAGGATTTTAAATTCTATTGTGGATTTAATAGGAATCGAATGAAGGGAAACTAAACTGGGAGACATGTGAACTCTCTTTTTTTATTTTCATCAAATTTTTGCTGCAGAATTTAGGATAAGCTGAGGGCTTTTGACTTGTTAAGTAAAGGTTTAATTACAGCTACCTGAAATGACTGAGTTACAAAGGCCTACCCCTGTAACAGGGATAGATTAATCATATCTAAAATGGAGGTGGAAATCACAGGGAATACTTCCTTAAAAAAAAAAAAAAACTTGATTGGAACTGAATCTAACTGAAAAGTTAATGGCTTAGATAAAGATAATAATTTTGCAAACTTTAAAAGCTCAACTGGATCTAAACAGTCCAAACCCAGTTAAGGTTCTGTATAAAACAATCACATTTAGAGGGGTGATAATTATCTTTTTCTTTAATAGAATCAGTCTTATTCATAAAGAACCCAGCCACACACAGTAACACTATGGAAATTAAATGAGAAGAACATCAAATGTAGACATTGCAGTTGCATAGATGCCTCATAATTCATAAAAAAGAATTAAAGTGAATCTTTAAAATATGATTTTCTCCCCAGACCTGAAGTGGCAAATCAGGAAGGACTGTTTGATGCAGTGTAAGCACTATTTTAATGTGACGTGGTCAAACAAATCCTCTCTCCTTACAGGAAGACTGCAGCAATGTGGTTTAAAGACTGGTTTAGTCATAAAGGGTTTATTTAAACCCTTTCTACAAAAGCTGCATGGACACTCATTAAACAGAGGAAAAAATGAGAAAATATGTTTACCAGAAAATTCATATAGATCTATAGATTTCATACAACCACATTCACTATTGGAAGAAAAGAGTTTTTGACATGAAAAGCTTAAGACAGTTAGATCATGCATCCAGATCTGCTGTATTTCTGAATCTATGCCAAGTATGCCCACATTATCTTGTGCAAATTTATGAACGTTAATATCACTCATCTAATACTGAGCTTTAGAAATATATGTTTTAAAAAACATATTATTTGGTGTTGAAAATATAGCTAATATATTAATTAAAACAATAATCAAAAATGTGTTAATTTGATAAACAAGAGGAAACGCCCACTTTTCTGTCGTCACGTCGCCACGTAAGATTCAATGCAACGCAACTTGCTGCTCATTTTCCGGGAGCTGCTGAAGTAGCCAATCACGTTACTGCTAACTGGTGTGCAACCTAGCTTGCTGACTAGCTTGGTAGCGGCGCACACAGAACCAGCTGAGCAGCAGCAACACGACAGGGCAGCAGAGCAGATGGGGGACAGGGTTTCTGTTAAAGTGAGTATTCAGTGACATGTCAGTGGTTCATGGTAGTTGATCTGATAACATTGCAGTCAGTGTCAGGAACATTTTTTTTCAATGTAAATTATGATGTTAAAACCGATAAGGCTATGTTGACCTAGCCTCTGATTTGATTTTTGATGTCAGATCTGAGAGAAGCGTTGCTAAAGCTAACACTATCAACTTCCTCCAAATTATTATTAGCCACTGATGTAGTGAAGGCAGGCTTCACGAACCTGCTGACTCGGGTTAATACACAAACACATTATATTTTGAAGTATGTTATGTAGAGACTAATATGTCATTGTGTTTATGTCCAGATGTGCTGTAGCTGGGCTCTTGTCACCGGTTGGGTTGTGCTGCTGGTGCAGCTCCAGTGTTTACAGGCTGTTCCCATCGGCATCGACAAGACAAAAGTCAAAGAGGCAGAGAAAAAAACCGAAGAGCCTCCAGCCAATGTGGTAAAAAGATTTATTTTAGGCACAACCCCATGAAACAGGTTGATTCATGTGTTTGAACGTTACAGTATGACTGTTTCAGTGCCACCTGCTCTTATAGATAAAAATACATTTAAAAATGTTATTTATTGACCAAGGTTTCTTAAATAATCTATTTAGAAACTTAACTGCACCTGTAGGATTATACAATATAAGTATTGATTGATTAAGTGATTACTTTGTTGCATTTTACAGGACACAGGACTCCATTATGATCGCTACCTAAGGGAAGTCATTGATTTTCTTGAGAAAGATCAACATTTCAGAGAAAAGTTGCACAATACAGATATGGAAGACATCAAGGTATCCTGGGTTTCTTTATTTTGGCTCTATAACACTGTTATAATGCCTTAGAAACACAGTGTTGTACATCAGAAATGCTTTGCTATACTTGATTGTAATATTACTATTTTCCCTAAAATGGATTAAGACATGCTTCCTCAGATTAACTTTTACCCTCCCTTGTTTGTCATTTAGCAAGGTAAGCTGGCTCAAGAACTGGACTTTGTCAGCCATCATGTCAGAACGAAATTGGACGAATTAAAAAGACAAGAAGTAAATCGACTGCGGACCCTGATTAAGGCAAAACACGATCTAGAAGGAGGAAGCGGTAGGAATTTTAGCACAATTTCAAAGTATTTCTGTAATTGAATGCATCAGCCTTAAAATAATGTATATATTTTTAAAATGTACCTTTTGAATAGATATAGCTGTGGACCACCAGGCTCTCTTAAAGCAGTTTGAGCATCTGAACCACATGAACCCACATACGTTTGAAGTGGAAGATCTGGACCGGCTCATTAAATCGGTAATATCTTTCCCTTAGTCATGCTTTGTCATAGTTTGAACATAAATCTTAGAGTTTATGCAAGCGCGGCTTACCAGTGTAACTTACTGTTGTGTAATTTCAAATAGATGCAAGAATGTGGAAAAAATAACATCTAATTGATATTAATTGTGGAGTTTAATGCCATCTCAGTGCTTTTCATTTACTCTTAAAGTTAGTATTTATTTCATGTTTTGATGAACAGAAGCAGACTTTTAAAAGACTATATCAATGCTAAAACTATATTGGAAATCCAAACAATTGCCCCTTTTCGTTTGGTTTTTACTTATTCAGAGATACCGGTAATATATTTTTTTAATATATGAAAAGAAGTTAAAACAAACAGATCTTAACTTGTGGCAAGCAGTTGTTTTTTTTATGCATTTCTTGTACTAATGCAACTCTTTCCCTTTCTAAAGTTTCCTCGCTTATTTTAATCATACAACTCAACTTTTGAGAATATTGCTAAAAATGACAGATTTATAGCCAACAAAAAATATTCTTTCACAAACTGTTCGGTTTCTCTTTCAGTAATTAAATGTGCAGACCTATTTCAGTTTTCCTTATCTGGGCACAATTGCTGCTCATTGGAATTTGCACTGTTGCTTGAATCTTGCATCACCTTTACATCATATTCTGTAATAATACAGACGCTTTAATTTGCCTTTCTGTTTAAAGTTTTAGATTGCCACTGTTTTTCTAAACAGCCGTATCTTTATGTTTTGACAGCCTTCTCCTGATTCACCTTTGAATTAGCAACATTTTTCAATCCTCATGTATTTAGAGGGGTTGAAGTAGACAGTCACAGATACATGAACCATTAGCAATAACAATAGCAGCATTAAATAACTCTGTATCGCATTTTGAATACCTTCTGATTTTTGTTTAGATATATCTAATAATCAGGGTTTATATTCACACGTCAGCATTGATACAAAGATGGCAGAACAGAAATCTAATCGGTCTGGAAATCTCAATAAGAACCATAAAATAATTACATAAGCAATGTTTGTTGCATCTGGATGACTGAACCATGAGATATATCAGTGTAGACGGCTGAGGAAATCATGCGGTGTTTAGAAGGTATGTTTCTAACCCTCCCGAAATATTTTCACCTTCTTTCAGGCAACAAACGATCTGGAGAATTTTGACAAAGAGAGACATGAGGAGTTTAAGAGGTATGAGATGATGAAGGAGCACGACAGACGGGAGCACCTGAAGACCCTAGATGAGGAGCAGAGGCAAAAAGAGGAGGAGCACTATGAGGAGATGAGGAAGAAGCATGCTGATCACCCTAAAGTCAACCACCCGGTGAGTGTCATTGACTGCAAAAGGATTCATAACTATTTTGTGGTTTTACTATTTTTAGGAATTGACTGACATTTAGGAAGTGATTATCACACAGTGGAATTTAATAAAATTCCGGCATATTATTCTGTCTGGGTATGAAAATAACCTGAGCTATGTTTTATTTCTACAATGTAGGGTAGCCAGAATCAACTGAAAGAAGTTTGGGAGGAAGCTGATGGCTTAGACCCTGAGGACTTTGATCCAAAGACATTTTTCAACCTGCATGGTAAATTTTTACTAGCAACCACCCAGTGAAATAGGATTATGAGCTGTTATTATAGTGCTAAATCATTTTTAGCACTTGGAAGGATTATACTTTTTATAAAAAAAAAAAAAGATTTATCTGTTTTGTTCTTGGAATAAATGTCCCAGAGCTAGATTATAGCCCAACAGCTTTCTTTCACCGGGAGACCATTATGTTACATACTTCTCTCTTTTCAATCATCTTTTAATGTAGATACGAACGGAGATGGTTTCTTCGACGAACAGGAGCTTGAAGCTTTGTTCACCAAAGAGGTAAAAACCACTTTATTGAAAATAATCTTCCATTTTTACAAACCTTTCCTTGGTCTAACTGTCGCCCTGTTTTGAATTCAGCTAGAAAAAATCTATGACCCCACTAATGAAGAGGACGATATGGTGGAGATGGAAGAGGAGAGGCTGCGGATGAGAGAACATGTAATGAACGAGGTAAAGCTAGCCACACTGCTACGACGTGATAGAAATTTGATTTTAATTGAAAGTTGCATTTATTTGCTCATTTATATAATAATGTTATTTAATTAGTAATCTTGTTTTGTCTGTAGATGATAAATCAGCTCAGATTATGAGTGTATAACCAGATTTTTAGGACTTGCCAGTTACTGATTCCCTGCCAGCCCATGCAAATTAGATGAAGGTCATAGAGTCACGGGTTATTTTACTATGTGAAGTTTACCAATACCTGAATCGGACCACCTTTCGCTGTCCAAACAGTCTTAATTATTCATGGTATTGATTCAGCAAGTTATTGGACTAACTACTGAGAGTGTTTCTTCCATTCCAAAGGTGCTGTATTGTATTTTACTTCTCTGAGTATGGAAACTGTTGGAGAAAACACAATTCGTTGTCGTGTTTTTAAACTAAAACATCTGAGATCATTTTTATTTTTGTGGAATGGTGCTTTTTTCTGCTTTTGGGGGGAAAAATATCTACTGATTCGTAGACTGTGGTTAAAAGGGATTGATATGGTTGACAACAATACTTGGCTATGCCACATGATGCTCATTCAGTACGTTTTAAGATCACTACCAGCCTAAGTTATTTATTCAAGACAAGATGTCTGCTTCCATGTTCTGCATAACTTCTGACTAGAAAACGACTGAAACATGATAACTAAGGCTGATGCTGATACAGATTATCTCCCTCGAGAGCGAATCGAATACCTTCACCAGAAAATCATCACTCGACTTATCATCCTGAACCAGTCACATCATTCTTGTTCTTTTTCAGACTATTTTCTGAAAATCTGAGATGTTGGAAGTGAAAATTCTAGTATATTAGCGGTTTCTGAGAAATTCAGGCCAGACCTTTTAGATTTAAAGTCACCTAAATCCTTCTTTTTCCCCATTCTGATGCTTGGTTTTGAGCTTAAGTAAGTCATCCAGATCCCTTTATGCCAAGTGGTTAGCTGATTCGCTTTGTGCTAACAGGTAATTGAATGGATATACCTAATAAAGTGTCCAGATCGATCTCTTCTATAAATAAGGGTTGGATTTGATGTTTCATCTAATGCCATAAACTTTTCATTAGAGTTTAGTCTGATCTAAAAGGCTCGCCGCTCTACCTCTCTGCTTTAGGTGGATACTAATAAAGACAGGTTGGTGTCTTTAGACGAGTTCCTGGTTGCTACAAAGAAAAAAGAATTCCTGGAGCCAGATAGCTGGGAGGTAAGATACAGAATGAGATGTTAGCAATATGAATTGGTAATAATTCCTGTTAGGTAAAAGGATGCATATATGTTAGACATGATGTCCTAATGTATTTTGGTTAGACTCTGGAGCAGAATCAAGCTTATACAGATGAAGAAATGAGGGAGTTTGAGGAGCATCTGGCGCAGCAAGAACAGGATCTCAATCAGAAGGCTGTTGATCTTCAGAAACAGAGAGAAGAGCTGGAGCGGCAGCAGGAACAGCTGAATGCACAGAAAGTTGAACTCCAGCAGGTAAATAGTGAACCTGGGTTTTGATGCTTAGCTATTTGAATTAGAAAATGACTATAAGGATGATGAGATTTGTCAGAGTGGTAAATGTGTGCTGTTCAAAGCATTTGTCTGCTTGGTAACACACACACAACATCCAAATATTTAGACTTAAACGAAACTCATTACAGGCTGTTGAGCATATGGAACGACTGAAGTCTGAGAATGTAGAGCCTCCACCAGAAGTTCACAGTAAGTGCCGTTTCCAGGATTTTATTTGTTTCTATTGTCCACTAGGGCAATGAAGGTAAAAGCATTTTTTTTTTGTATCATATTACAGTCGAAGGAAACATTGTCCCTGAAGTCCATGCAGCTGACAACCAGTTGCATCATGATCAAGAAGCTCAACCGCCAGGACACCATGAGACTCCCCAGCACCATCAAGACGCACAACAGGAGCATCACGAACCCAATCAAGACTTACCGCAGCAAGGTCACCCCCAGACGCATCACGGCGAACCGCCAAACCAGCAGGGAGTTGCACAAGGCCAGCATAACCTACCATAACGGTGCCATCAGTACAAACAACAGAAAATCAACAGCAGACTTGTGCTGTATTTCAACCCGTGCTTAAAAGAGGAGTCATTTCTCCCAATGAAAAGACCACTTTAACCATTATGTTGGTAAAAATGAGGATTGGCACATATCAGATCTGTTATCCCAGATAAATGTGTCTGATGTCAGTAATCTTCAAATGACCTAATTAATAGAATATAAATTGATCCGTCAATGGCATATATATCTGCAAGAGAAATGCTAGAAATTAAGATGGATGTTTGAAATGCATATAGAGCAGCTGACTATACAGAAATTGATTGAAGAGGATATTGGAATCATGCATTACAGTTCGAAAGAGGATTAAGGTATAAAGTAAAAAAAAAAAAATGCTTAGCTTCAAATCTGGCTACACTCCTTTTTTATGGTGAAAGAAATGTATTATTTTTAACATTTTCTACAGTTCAGAGACCATGTAAACTCAAGGCAAAAACAGGCGGAATTTACGTTTTCTGTTTATGCTGAATCTTCAAGTTCATTTCTAAATTAAAGACATTTTTGATGCAGTTTGGTTTTATATATATATATATATATATATGTATATATATAGAGAGAGAGAGGGAGAGAAAAAAAGAATCTTCTGAAAAGGACGTTTCTATCAAAGTTATCTGTTGGATGTTTACCTTAGACTGCCCAACACGGCACACTCCAGCTGCTGCCTCCTGTTTTTTTTTTTTTTCAAATAATGGTGCTAGAAATGAGTGGAGGAAAGAAAAAAAATAAGATTTGAAAAAACTTTTAAGTCCTGCAAAATCTCTATTGTAATTTAATACTGAGTATATAATTAGTTCTATCTGTGGTGCTCTGCATGTTTAAATGTTTCCCTTCTTCAATCGACACCTGATTCATTGAGCCTTGAGTCTTTTGACTTAATTTAGATATGATGAAGCATAACCTTGCCTCTAAGCTGAATTCTCACAGCATATTCAGAAACACGAGAATCCATCTTATACCGCTAATGCTTCAACTATTCAAGACCGACCCCAAAAAGGGATCTGTCAATCATGGTGCACCGTTGTGTTTTAAGGCGGGACATACAGCGCTGACCAAAACAAGAGCTGCTGAATCCTCAGTAGAACCAATATGAACATGGCAAGGCAGGAGAGCGTACATGTAGCTGCTGCTATAACATCTGTTTGTCAGAATCTAGGATTTCATCTTTAGAAGAAGAACAGAAAAAGCGTGAGAAAACAAAATAAGTTGTTTTCTCATGTCCCCTCATTATCTCATTCGATACTGTGATTGGCTAAAACCAACACATGGGAGGGGTGCAGTAGGTGTTGCTTTGTCCAGTCAGGTCAGAAGGTTCCTCTAGATGCCGCTCATTTCCCCAAAAAGATTTGAGTTTGATCACGTATAGAACTAAACAGATCTGGCCTGTTAGGTTAGTTGAAGTGGGGAAACAAACATTTTCAGAGGCAGAAAAAAACCACAAGGACCTTTGTGGAAACGGTTATTGCATGCTTCTGGAAGGATTTTACATCTTAGAATAGAATTGATCATGTGGAACAAAAAATAACCATAGTGACTATTTTGAATAAAACTTGTTATACAAATTCATATGTACCATGTTTGTAAAATGACCATAATTAACTTAAGAGATTTATTTGTATTTTAATCCTATTGCTGTGTGGTCCGTTAAAAAGGTACTGGTTAAGTTGGAGTGATATGCAGGTTCCTTTTTCATCAAAACTACTTGGTTTATGGTTTCAAGCATTTCTTTGAGATGGTTTAATGAAGCAGTGGGACATCTTACTGCGTTATAGGCCGATCTGTTACTTTATATTCAATCTTTAATGTTTTCTGTGTCATATGGTCCTTTAAAAACAAGGCTTTATATAACCTCACAGAATATACACGTCGGGTTTCTGAATTCTCCCTGCTGTATACCAGTCATTTGGAAAAACAAAAAACCTCAGTTCAAGAAAATAAATCTGTTTACCTTTTCAGAATTTTTTTTTGTAGTTTCTTATATAACAGATGGCTACTTGGGAGTGGGAAAGTGTAGGATTTTAAATATTTTCCCATTAGTGAAAATATAAAATGTTCACTTTAAATTCTTTAAAGCAAAGGTCTTGTGTACCCATCTGTTGCTCATGATTAAAAACATAAAGACTTACAAATTAATGGTTCGCGAGATCCTATTGAGCAGGGGATTCCTGGTCTTTAATATCAGTCATGCAGACTGTAGCTGCATCCTTCCTCTGAAATAGCTTGTTCAAATGATCTCTTCAGCCCTCTATCATATTTAGCAAAGGCCTGGTAATGAGCCATTCATTTGATACAGCTGTTTTGGAGCAGTGATGCATCTAAAATATGCAGGACAATAGATCTTGAAGACAATGGATGGAGAACCCTGCTCAATAGGAACCCGATAACAAAAAAATAAATAATTGCTTAAAAATGTAAATCTTGTTTTAGAAATAAACCTATTGAAATCCATCAGTGCTTATCTGACAAAACTGGATTTATAGGCCTCTTCTTCCAGTGATATCTGAAGCTAAAATATTTTAAGAACACTGTTCATCTTTTTTTCCCCCTTTTTCTTGGGTTTGCACATTAATGGCAGGACAACTGTAGAAAATTCTTTTAAAAACCTGTAAATCTAAAAGTCTTGAGTAATAGAAACCATGTAGGAAACATGAAAAAGAATTATGAGAAATCAATAAACTAATAAGCTTTTACACTACAATAGTTTTCACTGAATTTTTCCTTGCTGCCGCAGGTACGGAAGAGGATTAGGGCCACTGGGGGAAAAAAAAAGGTTAACTGATTAAATTTTATTTCAGTTTAATATAGGGGGAGAAAAAAAAATCAGAATTCTGACTTTTTTTCTCAGAATTCTGTTTTCTGACAGCTAACAATCATGTTAGCATCAAGCCATAGCCATGTCTGTTTTAGATACTAGCTCTTGTTTTAATCACTTTCTTTTTATCATCAAATCAATCTATTCTCACAGCTGAGTGCAACATAATCTACAAAAACATCCCTAAAATTTGGAGTCATTAAACAGAGGCTCATAGGATACAACTTTATTGAAACAGTCTTAACCAATAACAGTGTACAAATGGATTACTGCGCAACACAACAGTGGGTTAAAAAAAAAAAAAAAATGACGCTTTTAAGAAAATCATAGGATCAAAAGGGAGAAGCTTCAACAGCAAAGGGTACAAGTAAACCATTCTTATGAACTCCGATCAACAGTGGCAGGGAAATTTTTTGCATTTACTTTGTAAAAAAAATAAATTAATGAACTCTTTCAAGTTTACAGGAAAATCTATTTGTAGTTATACATGACACAGACTCTCTGAGAATCCTACATGTGGTGAACTTGAGTATGTTGTGTTAAAACATTTAGAGGATCTAAATGTCAGCAGGCTGATTAATATGAGGGGGGTGGTTTTGGGGTGGGGGAGTAAAAAAAAAAAGAACCCATCAGAAATAAACGTTAGAAAAGTGAACTTGGGCTAACACATTCAAAACCTTGAATGTTCCACGTGGCGCAATAGGACATTATCATGATCCTTTAAGAACGCATTGCTTGAGCATTGGCTCGGGGCATTCCTCGAGATCCTTGGGCAGTTCCTCGCTTGTAGCCTTGCTGATATCCCTCCTGGAGGAGAGTGTAGGTAAACACAGATTAGCCAGCTTATACGACGGGAAAAAACGAAACAAACACCGATTAGGTGAGGTTAAAGTGAGTCATGTCTTACCCGTTGGTAGCTGGAATAGTCACGCGATGTGTTAAATTGGGTTTGGCCATAACCACTGCTGGATGGAGCGTTTGAGAACGGAGCGCGGTATCCTTCATAACCACCTGATAACAGACGATAAAATTAGACCACACAGGTAAAATTGCTCTGTTACTAAAACAACATAACTGCTCCATCCACGACATGTTTAATGTGGTACCTCTAAACCCATTTGAGGAGCCTCGATATCCATTCATCATGCTGCGGTTGTTCCTGGGTCCACCCCTGGGGGCGCCTCTGCTGCTGTAAAATGACTGGCTGGACTGCCCGAACCCCGACCCTGCAGAGGGATCAACGTGACCTCCTGCTGATGGAATGACCTGGTCTTGAGGCTGGAATCCACCAACAACTGATAAAAGGGAGTCAAAGTATCTTAGAAGTCTATAATGCACTGATAGATGAGTTACTAAAATAAGCTAGTTTACACACATTTCCCCAAGCTGAAAAAACTACCTCCTCCATTTTTGATTGCTCTGTGGTCCAGTAAAAGGTTCTTTAATGTACTGCATGTGATCTCACCTGACTGTAGTCTTTCCTGTGGTATTTCCGGCTGCTCTACAGTGTTCTCTGATTGGCTGTTAAAGCCCTGACCATAGCCACCAGAAAACTGGCTGGCTTGCTTAAGGGCATCTGCTTGGACATCGGTGGGTGGAGGTACAGGTGCGTTCATATTAAATACCTGGAGTTAGAAAATAAAATAAAAAAATCAATTAATCTGGCAACAATTCTTGCTGGGGATCTGTGGAGGTGGGGGGGAAATACAGCTTCCTGTTTTGATGGAACGAAATCCACTTTGGTTACAGGGCCTTTAAATACTGTGCTCTAATACTGACTAAGCCTTAAATTCCACAAAGCTTCGTGTTTCAGCTGAATTGATCAAGTCCAAACATATTTGCTGCTAGGCTGCTTAAGTGAACCCAAAGCATACCGCTTGCACTGACTGGAAAGGTGCTGCGTTCACATTGATGCCTCCGGAGTGGATATGTTTGGAGACAGGTGGGAAGGCAGTAGACAGGGAACATGGGGCAGAAGACTGGTCAGATGACAGAGACATAGAGGTCTAGGAAGGCAGGCAGAAGGAAATTTGAAAGGTAAGGAAACAAGGAATATGACAAAGGTCAGCGGATGCAATGGGAGCAGCGATAACACAAGAAGCCTCTAGCTAATGCTGTACATTATTCAAAGGACTTTGTAAAAACATAGAAAGAACACTTAAAAATAACGTCTAGGTGATCCCTAGAATACATTTCATTTCCTGACAAAATACATTTTGAGATACCAGACTTTCCAGGTATCTCAAAAGAACATGCCTCATTTTATGCTTTTCTGTTCTTACCTGAGAGGAATCCTGTGGTCCAGATACAGCATTCGTCTGAGGAAGCCTTTGTTCTGAGTGAGCAACTAAAAGCAAATCAAAAGGGACAATTCTAATAAGATGTCCGTTAGTGTATGCTAGGCTAGGTAAAATTTTAAGTATCACTCACTTGTAGGGCCACCCATCTGCTGCAGATCAACGGTCTGCAGAGGTTTCATTGGCTGTGCCGACACAATGGCTGGGTCCAAAACCTGGTTGTCAAATTCCAACATGGAGTCCTGTCAATGTAACCATGCCTTTATCAGCTTTGAAGTTTGTGTAATAATACAATGGTTTGGGTCAGGCTTTTAGCTAGCAATGTGTACAAGCATACATTGTACGCCCTTTACAAAAAATATTAGAAATTGTATGCCCTGTTTTTGGGATGTATGGCTTTGGTACGCCCTAATTTCCCTCTGGAAACTTTGCTAAAATGTTCAAAAATTCACAAGCAGAAGATGCTAGAGTTAGAAAAATTTTATTTTTTTTACTTGATGCAACACATCAACCAATCAAAGAAGCCGTTCTGCAAGCTGGCAGGGAGACAGACAGCAATGTTGATGAAGAGCGCTATGATCACTCCACTGAGCACAATGTGTGCACAATTATTATGCAAGTTGTACTTGTGAGGATTACCTTTTATTGTTGTACTACAGCTCTCTCAGTCATGTTATTAACCTCTCAAACCTGAATATTTAATTAAGTAAAAAAAAAAAAAAAGGCTTTTATTCCATTCATGGAGTATGTCAGTTTCTTGATCTGTTAACGATCTGTAAATCTCACGTTTGAGAAGGGACCAAAGGTTCTCAATGGGGTTAAGGAAGGGGCAATTCATTATTCTTTCATCTTTAAAACTTTGCAGACTAGCCGCATAGTGGAGTACTCTAATGCATGTGATGCATAAAAATCACGCACCTCTTGAAAGATGCTGACTTTTTTCTTGTGCAATTGCTTGAAGAAAGTGTCTTCTAAAGAGTGGTAGTACCGTATTTTCACGACTATAAGGCGCACTTAAACGTCTTTTTTTTCCCTCAAAATGTGCGGTGCGCCCTTTGGTGC